TTTATGTGCAGTTCATTTACCAAAACTAGCCACATGTTCCCACCTAAACACTAAGAGACCAGAAAGTTTCCCAGAAGGAGAACACGTGCCCAAAAAAACACTAGTAACTACTAGTAACACTCATGCCCTTTGGATCCATAAATAATGGATTTATCTTCTTTCCACATGCAAAACATACATACAGTGTCTTCCAGGGAAATAACCCCAAAAGATCTATAATCTTAGACCAAACTCAAAGATCAGGATCTTATAGCAGTTGGTCACAAATATGTCTTCTCTTGATGTAGAGATATATGAACTAATTAAATAAAAGATCCCTCCCTCACACCTAATATACAATGGAAGGGTAGGAACATGATAACCACCATAATCACTCCCATCTGAAAAGGGGAACAATGAACAAAGATAGCAGTCATCAGTCTGTAGCAATTCTGGAATCCTGCCCAGGCAGGCATTGCACCGGTCTGCCCACTAGGGTGCAGAGCATTCCTCCACTAAATTCCAATTCAGATCCACAGTATCCTGTTCCCCTGCGCACTGCTTTTCCGTCTCGTCTCCAGTGCATTGCTTTCTGTGGTCCTTGCTGCACCTTCCAGAATTGTTCTTCCTTCCCATGATCCCACTTGTCCTTACCCCAAGGATTACTGAAGAATAAGATCTCCTTGGAGTTTGATTGGCAGCTTTCTCAGGCTGCTTCCTGTCCACTGAAGGCTGAGGCCCACAATCATTTCAAGACTCTTTACAGTTTCCTACAAATGTGACTGATAGTTATTTTGGCATCATTCTCAATAATTGAGGTAGCTTTTCTCCACCTGATTCAAATCAGCTCTGTACTTTCTGAGTCACAACTTTCTCTTTTACTTCTTTTTTTGTAGATGCCTTAAGTCTATCAGGCTTTTTCATGGGAAAACCAGTACTATTCTTTCCACGTTCCATTGCATACCACTTTAGGATTTAATTCTTGCCACAAGTTTGAATTCTAATCAGCCTTTATTGCTCAATTTTGTTTACTAATGATTGAAGATGAGACTCACTTGCACATTCCAATAGTGCAAGTCTAAATTTCTGAACTCCCTATAATTACTTTCATTCCTAATTGCAAGCTGGCAATTATTTCCTGATCTAATCTTTTCCTGTGCCTTTTTGTATAATCAACAGTTACCAACATATGTCACCAGCTCATCATTTCTAGCCTCTTCAACTAGAGCTATGAGTTTATGGACTACATTATCTGCCTCGGGGGTTTCACACACTATCACAGGAGTTTTGTCAAATATTTCCCAGCTGTGAATATGAATCCCCATCCTTCTCCTACCATTGATATGGAAATACAGTTTCTCTTATTGTTTTCTTTGTTGTGTACTACCTAGCCCTTAAACCAATGCAAATAATTTACAGTTTTAGGTATAGTAATAGCCTTATCTTGGCAATAATTTCTGTATTAGTCAAGATTGGCTCAGTGTTGCTCCAGAAATAAACACCAAAGTCACCATGGTTTAAAACAATAAGTTTAATTCTCATTCACACTACACATCTATCGTAGGATTGTGAGGAAACTTGCTCATTATCCTCACTCTGAATCCCAGGCTGACAGTGTAACCACAACCTTGAATGTTGCTGGTTGTTGCTGGAGCTCTGGAGGGTCTTGCACTGGCAAGCCTGAAAGTGACTCCTATTATAAATACTTCAAGGCTCATAACTAATAAGCCAAAATTAGTTACATAACATTACTCAACTACAAGGAAGCCAGGAAGAGCAATTCTCTCTTGTGTTCAGAATGTCAGACAAAAAAAATATTTGTTAACCATCATGAATACCTACCAAAATAGGTAAATGAAAGCGTTTGTGATGAATACTGTCAAGGAAAAATATTGGGCTATATGGTACAATTGAGGGACCTATTTTAAATGGGTTGTCCTGGAGATCTCTCTGAAATGGAAAGGGTTGCATCAAGATCTCAAAGTTCAGAAGGAGTGGGAAACATTTAAAAGAACATTCTTGTCACAGTAATTTTTCTCATTACTGAGACAAAATACCCAGCACCCAAAGTTAAAGGAGAAAAGGTTTATTAGCTTACAGTTCGTAGGGGTTTCAGTCCATAATTGGCTGGCTCCAAGGCAGGGTGGCATAGTTGACAGGCATCCCAGAGGAGAAACAGTTCATGGTATGCAGAATGTAGCAAAGCAAGCAAGCAAAGGACGACCACATCTCTTTCTATCCCTTATATCTTATTCAGGCTACTTCAAGCAGGGTAGCACTCAAACTCTTAATCCTAGTGTCCTTGATCCTAGCATTCCACCATGAATCAATTCCAGCCACCTCTGAAGAAGCCCCACCTATGACTGCATGAGGCTTTGGGGGACATCTAGAGACAAACCATAACAATTCTAGACAGGAAACATCAAGGATAAGGTCCCTAGGGTGGAATGCAGAAGACAAGACATACAGGAACTGAAGAAGCAATGGAGGGTAGGAGGAAGTGTCATGAGACAGAAAGGACTTTCAAGGTCAGGTCACAGAGGATCCTGAAGGCCGAAGCAAATACTCAGGATTGTATGCTAGGTATAACAGGAAGCCACCAAAGAGTCTTAGGACAAGTAGTGAATGTTCCTGCTTTAAAAGGGTAACTATGTGGGGAATTACCTGGAAAGGGATAAAAGTAAAAATAAGGAAACGAACTGGGATTTATAGTATTAGCAAAGGAGATAATAGTGGCTTGAGGGGAGGTGGGGATGTGTTCAGCATTGAAACTGGCAAGAAATGAACCAACTTAAGATATATTTCAAAGAACTCATTAATGGATTGAATACCAAAAAAGTTGAAAATTGCAGGAGTTAGTATGACTCCCATGTTTCTGCTTCAGGCTGCTCCATGGTGCCATTTACAGAAATGGGGAAAGACAAAGAGTCAACTAGGTTTGCAATCTATAGAAAAGTAGATCCTATTTACACATATTAAGTTCAAGACATTAAAATGGGCAAGAAGCTAAATATGGAAGTGGATCATATAGGAGAAGTCTGAGTTAGAATGATAAATCAAGAGTCATGAGTACAATGTAACACAGAGATCACACAGGTAGGAGTGTGACAGAATAGCTGAGGACTGCAGGATTTGCCTAACAAACTTTTTGACATTTGCCTTTGGAAATGTTCATGACAGTGTGTGTGGATTTATACTTCCAATTGTCAGTTAGGGACAGGAGGCCTTGTAGGTGGGAAAAAGATAAGATGAAGGCCTCACTGAGCTTTATTAGAAGTTAATGGAGAAACTTAGTAAAGGCAGCTAGAGGCAGCTTACTAGAGAAGACCTCTGCCTCTGCAGATTAGGCTCAAGCAATCAGAAAGACAAAGAAACTCTACTCTTTGCTCTACCTTGTGGTATTAAACTGAATTCCTAGTCCTGAATGTCATTTGCTGGTCAGAGAGATGAGTTAGTTTTGGTTTTTTCCCCCCTACCATACCCTCAACTTATTCACCCCACAGAACATTATACATGGTATTAAGATAGTACTAAATTTACAATGTTGTCTTAAGTGTTGAGGATTTCCTTGAGGCAGAAGTGCTTTATTCCATCCTTTTTACTGTCTTCTGGCTGCCTAGCAAAGTCTGGAACCCAAACAATCCTGCATAGTGAATGAAAGAAGGGAGGGAGGGAGGAAGGGAGGAAGGAGAGGAAAGAGGGAAGGAAAAAAGGAAGGAAGGAGAGAGGGAAGGAAAGAAAGAAGACGAGGAGAAAGGAATGAGAGGAGGAAGGAAGGAGGGGAGGAAGTAAGGAAGGAGGGGAGGAAGTATTATAGACAGCTAAGTTAGGTAGAAATATTATAGGCAGACAGGGCTAGGCCTTCCATGGAGTTAATGCAGAAGATAAGAAAACAGTGCAACTGTTGCTGGAGGCACATCTGTCAAAGATCAGGCCTCAAGATAAAGATGGTATGACCAGGCTTACATGCTTCCCCAGGGATAAGATAAACGGTATCACTGGGTCCTATAAAATCTAGATAGACACCAGTCACCCAGGTGGGTGACCAGGAGCTCCTGATCCATCCTTTCTAAAAAGGTCTTTGTCTTTCCATGTACCCTTGTTATGTGACCTGCTTTCCCATTGGATAAATATTACCTAAGCAGCTATAGTTGTAATCCTATTCGTTGATCATAGTTTTGACCCACGTTGTACCTACCTCTGATTTTGCTCTACAAAACTTCCTTTGAGAAGTAGGCTCTGTGGCAACCCATTTTTTGGGTTCTGATGTCTCTCAAGAGCTAGCTCTCTCAGTAATTTTTTCCTAGTCCTAAACTGCATTATCCCTTAGACTTCATTCTTCGATTTTGAGGAACACAAACTCAGCATATCCGACATCTAGCGGGTTGGGGGTTCCATTATTTCCCCTATTTCAAAAGGAAGGAAGGAGGGGAATAAGGAAGGAGAAAAGGAAAAAAGGGGGGGGGAAGAATAAAGGAGAGGAAAGGAGAGAAGGAACTCATTTCCCTGACCAGCAAATAACTAGGTATTCAGTTTGATACCACAAGGCAGACCAAACCTACCTGACACAATTTACATTTTTAAAATTCTGAGGGTGGAATTGTTTAAATGGTTTGAAACTAAAGAAAGGAAGGAAAGGAGAAAAGGGGGAAAGGAGGAGAAGGGAGAAAGGAAGGCAGGTAGGGAAAAGGGCAAAGCAATGCAAATCAAACACTTCTGGAAATTTTTAGGTACGCAAGATGCCTTCCAATATTTTTTTTTCAATTTTCCCATTTACACAGGTACAGTCCGCCCAGCCCTGAGGAGCAGCTCCAACTCCCCTCCCGGCTCCGCCCGTCCCGCCCTCCTGGCTCCGCCCCTGCCTGCCCCGCCCAACTCCGCCGCTAAAGACACCCCCTCTCACTCCCCCGGCTCCTGCCAGCCTGGCTACTGCGCCTGAGCAAAGGACGCCTCGCGCGGCGGCGAACGGTGGGGGGGCGGGGTCCGCAGACCCGCATTCGGCCCAGGGGAAGAGGAAGCGGAAGTTGGGGGCGGGCCCTCGCGGGGAGTGAACCGGAAGTGTAAGCCCTCCTGCTTCTTCTCCGCCGGGCGGAACCTCTTCTGCTGGGCCCGGTGGCTGCAAAAGAACTTTCTTTCTCCCGCCCCAACGGTCGCTGCGGCCAACGGCCTTGCCTGTCCAGCAGCCCGCGCGCCTCCCCTCCTCCTCGCCCTTTCGGCGGGCTCCGCTCGTGCTGCCGCCTCCGCCGTCGTCCCCTGCCCAGCCAGCCGGCCCGCCCGCCGCAGTGATGTGCGACAAGGAGTTCATGTGGGCCCTGAAGAACGGAGACCTGGACGAGGTGAAGGACTACGTGGCCAAGGTGAGCGGGGAGGGCGGGGTCCTGGGGTCCGCACGGACCAGAGGGTCCCTCGCCCAGGCCGGGGACCACTGTGTTCCCAGCCGGCCTGGCTTGCTTCTTGACCCAAGGAAGGGAGATGGTAACCAGCCCGTCTGCCTCTCTCCCGGACGCTGAGCATTTGAATTTGGCCCACTTTATGCAACAGGATTATTTAAATCCTTCTACGAATGATGTCATTCTCCATTTTGAACTTTGCTGTTACTAAACGAAGCCGCCTGAGTAGGTTCAGAGAGACGTTTCCTTTCACTGTAGGCCTCGTAGGATTTTAAAGAATTCATAGCGTAGAAGAGGACCAAAAATAGCAATAGTTTAAGGTGTTGAAACTTGGTATCACTTCACTGTGCAGGCTCAACTTTGGGTGTGGCCTTCTTCCTCTCCCCCACCACAGTAAATACACATTTGCTTCAAGTGGTAAGATCGTCCGTTAGTATCTGGAGTGTTTAAGAAATCTGAGAAGCTTTTCAAAAAGCATGTTAACTTTGGTTACACCATCCTTCTCCTCGATTTCACTTGAAGTGCTTACATGTGTAATAAATAACAATACCATTTAATCACACTATTTGAGGGTAAAACCGTGAATAAGAAAGCCAAACTCGAAGCTGTACCCTAAATATAAAACTGAATTCCCTTTGTGGTGAAATGGTAAAGTTAAAGGTTTCAAGCTAGCCAGGCTTTGGATACTGAAGTGTGTGTAATTTTAAAAAAATATATCTTCCCAAAAAAAAAGTGTAGTTTTATGACATAGCCTTCAGGGATATCTTGCTCACCTTCTTTAAGTGGGAGAAACCAGTCTAGATTTCACTTTTTCAGAGGATATGACCATTGGGCTGTGGTAGGAAACAAGCAGAAGCAGTTTCTTAAAACTTGCGGGATTGTGCAAGACACACTGTTCATAATTTTTCTTCTGTTTAATACCATTACAATTTAGACTTTTTTCCAGTCTACTTAGTTGTTATTTGCAGTGGATTTTTAGGACGGGCTGCCTTCTGGTCACTGCCTTCTTAACTAGTGGAAGATTGAAGCTTGGAATATTGCCTGTTTCGTTGTATGGTTAGAATAGCCTTTGGTTTTCCTACCATGGTGGAACCTACAATATTTGAAAGTTGATAGGTACTAACTGAATATACAGCAATAAAAATAACGCAGTGTGTCTTTCTGTTAACATTATGTATTCTTCGTGAGAGTTGTGAAATAAGCCCTGTTATTAGTCCCATTTTACAAATAAAAAAACTAAGATGGAAGGCTCTAAGAAAGGTATCCAAAGGTCCAGAGATTGTGTATGATTAAGCTAGAACTAAACTGCTGACTCCAGAACTGAGACTTTTGAACTGGTCCAGACAGTCAGTCTCCCATAATCTAAAACACAACTATGAAAGCATATAATCAAAGATTTCTACTAGGACATTCCCAAGACCAACATGCAGGCAGGTCATTCGTGCACAAATAATTCTCAGTCACTCAAAAACATTTATGTGAAATTACATGCTAATAAGGTGGATTAGTTTAATTTATTTTCAAGTGTTTTTAAAAATGAGGTTATGTTCAGTTTGACTTTTGTCCCCTGGCTACCATACTGCCTCTGTCATTAACAAAAAAGATGGGTATGAGAAGAAGAGCAGTGTTCAAAGACAGGTAGTAAAAGGCAGTATTGAGCATTGGTCTGGCCATAAAGATTGGAGTGTAATGTAATCCGATGAACGGAGCTTTTTCTTTTCTCAAGTAATGGATCTCATAAATTCTCTTTTACTTTGTTAATGAGAAATGACCAAACTAATAAAAACAGACTAGCACTCCAGTTTGAAAACTGGCTAAGCTCCATTATTAGGCCTCTTCACACTGAAATCTTAATTGCAGTTTCTTATGCTCAGCAGTGATCTTCTTACTCTCCAGCTCACCTGTTCCACCCACCAATATGTGAACATTCACTTTCTGAGTTTATGTAATGTGTACTTATCTAAGTGTATACAGAGAAAGCACTAAAGAAACATGCACTAGTTTTTCTTCTTCTGTCACATACTCAGTATTCTTGTGAGATCTTTCACATTTAGTATTTTTTAAGCTAACATTTAAAAAATTAAATAATTGTATTTTCTTCTGACTTTTATACAGAAATCTAAAGTGTGGATAGTCTTCAATTGTTGATTTTTAAGTAAGTTTTTGAACTTCAAAAACCCATTTCAAAAACCACTGAAAATTGCATGTTTCTCAAAGGAGAAAAAGCAGCTTGTGGAGAAAAAAATAGATTATTCAGTATTAAATGCCTATCTATAATATTAAAACAGTAACCGGCAATTTTAAAGTCTTTAGTGTTGCATTTTAGCTTCTTGGGTGACTGAACTAAAGGCCATCTATTCATCTATTTTTATTGGGCACCAACCACTTCAGTAGACCTGAGATGATGCTGAAGAAGTTGGGCGCAGTGTTTAGGAAACCAGCATTTATACTTAGCACACCTGTGTGAAAAATCTCATGAGCTTTTAAAGTAGTATCCAAATCATAAGTGACGATTTGATTGTTGAATTGAAAAAAAGCTAAAAAAGGAAAAGTGTCATGAACCAGCTGCCTTAGATACTCATTGCCCCATTTGCAATCTGTATGCTTCCTCTGGGTGACATTATTTTTGCCTTTGTCTTCCATTTCTGCTTTAATGTTAATTTCTGCCATTGGCATTAATTCTGGTAAGATTGCCTAATGGATACCTCTGTTCAAATTCCAAATTAAGCTCACTGTTTTCCTCTCAAAACTGCCTGTTTCTGTTGTCTCCATTTTACCTTAGCACCTCATGAACCAACCATCTGTCTAAACTAGACTTTGGGGGATTTTCCTAGATTTCTGAGGGTCATTAAAACTCCCTTCATAGTCTCTCATCCATGCCTCACTCACCATTCTTAGCACGATTACTTTAGGTTAGTTGCTGCTGCTTTATGACCTGGACTGTAGTTTGTAGTTCTCCCTGTCTAATTTATCTGTGGGATTGTCAGTATGTGAATCTAAGCATACAGTATTATCTTTTTCTCAAGGAACCTCTTTCACTGTCCTTAAAATACCTTTGTGTGTCCCATTACTTATTTAAAATGGGCTGTCTTCTTGGTTTGGTGCACTAGCTATGATGGTATGGTTGAGACTTGTCTTTCTAAAATCACCTTCCTGGAAATCCCCTGCTCCAGAACCAACCATGCTCGTTTTGGCTCTAGGTCTATGTGTTCTTTCCCCTTTCTTGACTAAGTCTGCTCACCTCTGTCCTTATCTCCCATGCTGGTGAACTTTTAATCCCCTTAGAGTAAATATCACCTCTTCCAGAATAACATTTCTACTTCAGGTGGAGCTCTGCTTCCTTTACTGTGTCACTTAATCAAGCTGCTGTGATGTTGCTTACATATCTCTTTCATTAGGCTCTCCCTCTTCTGGAGGACGGATGCTATATTCTTTTTTCATCTTTGTATCTCTGGTACTGTACCAAAGAATTTCACACATTAAAAGCATGTTTGTAGTAAGAACTTTATATTTTTAATTTGGCCATGATTTCAGTAAACTTAACCACTCATGTAATAATTACCATTGATTGGTTAACTTAGGTTGCCAGATAAGAGAATACATTTGGCAAGACACTTAAGTTTTCATTTTCCCACCACAGTGTTTCATTGTAGATAATATGTCCATTTTAAGGATGAGAACACTGAGGCTTAGAAAAGTTAATTTCACACAGTCACAAAGTAGTAACATGACTGGGATTTAAACCAGAGCAGGCTGAATCTAAAGCTTCCACATGTACACAGTTTTTTATCCATATCAGGCTGTGCTGAAACAGTTACCTGGCTTCTGCACTTACAGTAGCTTAGAATCAGCACATTGAGAAAATAAGAAAGAGCTTGCAAGAAGCAAGTACAACAGATTAGTTCTGTAAATAAAGACAAAATATAGCTACTTTTTATTTTTTAATTTTAAGTGTAACAATTTGGAAATAATTAGCTTAGAGATAAATATCTCTGTGAACTTAAATTGCCACCAGAGGCTATCTTTGGTTAAGGTATATCTATAAAGAGACTGAATAATAGCTTGTATAAACTTTTATTTAAACTCAGAATTATTTATTGTTTATGTTCATAATTGTGAATATACGCAGTCCAGAAAAAGTTAAATTGTGTTCGTTTGCCTTAGGAAAAAAATAATTAAATTGCTGAGCTTTCTATTCATAATGGTTTAAATTAAATAGCACTTTTAAAGAGACCATATTCTTTTAAGATTTTATATATTTGTGTGTAGTACACAGGTATCGTTTTTTGTTTTGTTTTTGTTTTTGTTTTTAGTACCGAGGATCGAACTCAGGACCTTGCACTTGTGAGGCAGGTGCGGTGCCACTGAGCTAAATCCCTGGCCCCACAGGTATCGTTTTATTCATGGGCTTCGTTACTTATAACCCCACAAGTTTAGATATTTTAGAGATGTAGAACTTCCCCCCCCGGAGATTAAATAGCTTGCCCAAAGTCACAAAGCTAAGTGAGAAAACAGATTTGAACCCGGTACTGTGGGTTCTGAAGCTTCAGAGGTCCTTGGCTCTTTACCACTTCACTTTCCCCCTTGACCTTCATTTATTAAAGATGCCAGATAACTGAGTATGAACGTGTTAAAATGAAGAATCACCACAGGATGGGAAAAATCCCTTGAGGCTGCTTAGAGATGGGGTTCGTGAAAGACTTTGAGGACTCAGCAGTTACTTTGGGTGATTGTGAGTTATACTGATAAGTAGCCCCTTAAAAATCCCCAGCTGGTCTGTATATGTAGTCTCTTGTTTACAGGTACTTCTGTTTCACTTGCTGTGAAACGGTATACATCAGGTCTCTAACTTCCCTTTCTCTGTGGTTTCCTTTCCCTCTCCAGCCCCCATTTAATGACATCTGCCTTTGACACTCTAATAGTTACGAAAAGCAACAATTGTGCCCCATGTGAGAAGGTAGGATCTA